CTGTTCCGTCAATAAATTCTGTCAATTCTTTTGAGTCCAGTAAGAACTGAACTCCAAACTCCCATAGGTGATAATTCTTGCCATCCAACTTAATAAGATTCACAGATTCTTTATCAGTCATTTCCGAGGAAACACTCTCTATCACAGATCAGAACACTTTCTAAACTTTTTCACTTCACTTACTATATTGCGCAGTGGAAGCGTGCTGGGCCCATAACCTGTTGGAGTTATTAGGTTCACAAATAAATTCACACACGATTATTCTTTATTTGAAAATGTTTATTTGAAATATTAAAATTTAGTGACGTCGAACGAAAGTAGACAAAATGTATATAAGAGCGTGAGAAAGGCTGAGGTCTTGAAGTTACAAGTTACTCGTCAAGGAGCTCGGCCTGTACTACCTAGGAAAGGTTTTTCATAAAAGCTAATTGCTCCCTTCAGGTACAAATTTTCAAGATCCAACTAAAGAGTAGGGGGGTGTTCATCTAAGTTGAGAGAAACCAAAAATCAAATAAAAATCTAAATACAAAATTCAACAATATTATTTTTCTTTGATACTTATAATATTAAATTAACAGTGTAAATTTTTTCAGTGAATGAATTGGAACGTAATTGTAAAATTTTATAGAAAAAGTGAAATCGCGGCAATTCATGCAATCGCGGAAAATCCCACATTTACCCCATGTGACCTGGACAGTTAAAAGGGACCTTATGTCCGAAAAAATCAATTTTCACTTTTTTGTTGATTCTTATAGGAAAAGATGTGCAGTTCTCAATGTAACAATCCACGCATATCCAGCTTCATTAGTCTTTTTACAAATGCGGTTCAAAGATGGACACAACTGGTATAAAAAATCATAAAAATTTAAGTAGAAAATAGGTGAATAAAAATTGATCAAATTAGCTAGAAACTCTTTACTTTGGGGTTTTTAGGATCGCTGATTACGAATCTGGTATTAGATTTTAAAAATTCAAAATGGCGGATAACAAAATTAAAAATTAGTTGAATTTACTTAAAACTTCTTAGTCGGAGGGTTTTTGAGGTCACTGATTACGAATTTAACATCATATTTTTAAAAGTAAAAATGTCGGACAACATTTTAAAAATTGATCGGATTTGCTTGAAACACGTTACTTGGGGGTTTTTAAGTCGCTAATTACGAATCTGGCATTAGATTTTAAAAATTCAAAATGGCGGATGACAAAATTAAAAATTAATTGGACTTGCTATTCGGGGGGTTTTTGAGTTCGACGATTACGGATTTGCCATCACATTTTTAAACGAGTTTTAAGCAAATCCGATCAATTTTTAAATTTATTTCGCCATATTGGATCCGCTATTTTGAATTTTTGAAATATGATGGCAAATTCGTAATCAGCGACCTCAAAAACCCCCGACTAACAAGTTTCAAGCAAATCTAACTAATTTTTATTTTTATCATCCGCCATATTGGATCTACCTTTTTGAATTTTCAAAATCTAATGCCAGATTCGTAATCAGCGACCTCAAAATCCCCCGAGTAACGAGTTTACTCGCCATATTGGTTCCGCCATTTTGAATTTTTGAAAAATGTCATCAGATTCGTAATCACCGACCCCAAAAACCTCCAAGTAACGAGTTTCACTGAAATTTGTTACACTTACAATATGTTTAAAGCAAATCCATATGATTCTTTCATTTTTTTGGGTGACATATTGGATCCGACAATTTTAATTTTGAAAATCTGATAGCAGATTCATAATCAGCGACCCCAAAAACCACTGAGTAAAGAGTTTAAAGCGATTTCAACGTGCAGGAGCATCATTTTCAACTTATTAACTTTGACGTCGTTTTTCTCGAAAACTTGATTTCTAACGTAAGGTTCTTTTTAACTGTCCAAGTCACATATACCTATAAACAAAAACATAGCGCAACAGAACGCAAGGAGATGCGGCTTTTGTTCTGATTTTCAACTTAAATTTAAGTTATTTATTTTATTTGTCTCAAAACAACGTAATTATTAATAAGTAATGCCTAAAAAAATAATAATATATTTATCCAAATTACTTTGTCCCGGGAAAATTCAAACGCTTACACAAAATTTTATCGCATTGTTTATACCATTTGGTTAACAATAAAATTATAAACTAAATGTCATCGTGCCTTTGTACTCGATGTGTATTACTCCCGAAAAATCATCTCATCGAAGTATATAAAAGAATTAAAAAAATAAAATACCAATTGCACCGAATTAATGTTTTTCGCGACAGCAACGCAGCAAATACTCGAGTTAACTTTTTGATTCACATGAAAATTTTTTAAAAAATATATTACAATTTTTATAAATTTATTTTTTTAAAAAACAATTAATTTAAATTTTGAACTGTACAAGACATTTTTTATAATCAATTTCGTTTCTTTTCGCTGTTTTTTCTTATCAAAAATTTTAAATATTGACATATATTTTATATTTATTATATTGAATTTTTCTGACAATTTTAAATTGTAATGTTTTCAACATGAGCAACTTTTACTTAATATTTTTTCTTTAAATGAAATTTATCACCATTTTTTAAAGAAATATTAAATATTAATTAATTAGTAATATTAAAAATTTGCCTTTGAAATTCACCTTCTATTTCTATGTAATAATTGTTTCAACAATTTCAATTAATGTTTCTTTTTATTGAAAGAAATTAACTTTTTTTTAATTATGTGAATCAAAAAACAACAAATCGAGCGTGTGAATTTAATGTAATTACTTACCATATCAGTCTAATGTGACTCTCACGCTACTGAGACTTAATTATGAATTGCTGCTTGCGCGCTTTGGAGAAGATCACGAAAAATTGCAAATTTGCTTAAATCTAAATTATTTTTAAAAAAAATTGTAGTACTTAACATTATTTTTGACAAAGTTTTCCTAAAACAACGAAAATTGAAATTTCATATTTTTAATCTTCAGAATCTTTGGAGTTTTTCTTTTTTAATATAGGTGTCTCTTTTACCTGCGAATAAGTATCGATCAACGCTGAAGTAATTTCCGAAATTCATTGTGCACGAATTTTTTCTAAAAACAAATCAAATAATTGTAATAAATATTAAATTCAGCAAATAATAAAATATTTAAGCATATTATTTAAATGGTAAAAACTTACGTGGCACTGAATTCTCGTTGTCCAAACAGTATAGGGTTGAGGGTTTGTTTTCTATTATTATATAGGTGATGACCGTTTAATTCCTGTGAGTGGAAGTGGTGTACTCATACTTTACTTTGCAATACCTATGCCCGAGAACGCTACTCACAATCAGGCTTACCACAATACACAGGCCCGGGCCGGTGGAGTGGGGGTATAAAGTCGGTTCTACAATAGTCACGTGGACGTACGACCTCACCAATGGTAATCTGTATTCGTTTCTGTTGCACCTATTCTTGAACGGCCTTCACTGGAGTGGAACGGCTACTGCTGATGTAAGAGAAACATATAGAAACCGTCTAGCGTTGCAAGTACATAGCTTCTAGGGCCGTTTTTGAATTGAGATTTTTAGCGCATACTTGATAAAGTGTATACTCGGAAAGTATGCACTGTTATTGTTTTTCCGTGCGAAAAAAAGGACACTGCATACTTCCCGAGTATACACTTTATCAAAAATGCGTTAAAAACCTCAATTCGAAAACGGCCTATTATTGATTTTTTTTTTTGGTTTTGAATAACATTGGCATTAAAGATATTTGGATTTTGAGGATAAAATATGATATTGGATAATATTGGTATGAATGTATTTTGATATTGGAAAAAAATATTGATTGTTTGATAATAGTGGAAACAGGCCTTTGGAAAATTAATTAAATCGAAGGTGGGTTGAATATTGTTTTACGAGCTAAATAATAGTTTCCGACCTGAATATTGATTTAAATATCAATTATTAATTTGAGAGACAAAGAGATTTTAAGACATATTAGATAACTTGATTTAATGAACCGGTTCAATTTGGCATTTTTGGCCAAAAATTAAAAGAGCAGTGAAAAATAAGTTAAATAATAATAATCATTATCGAAATTGATGCAATGTGAAAAAAGGTTAAGCAACGTCAATTCACCTATATATAGGACTATCATTATTGCATTCGTTTGCTGTTTTATAGTTAATGAAATATTTTATAGATGAAACAAATGTAAATAAATTTTTTAAAGCAAGAAACTGAAATAGAAGATTTGTTTAATTGAAAAGTGACTTATCAGTATTTGAAATTTGAGAAAGGATACCATGTCGAACGTAAAAGAATATTTTATTTTAAGTAATGAAGATTTTTATATTATTGAAAATGTAAATTAAATTTTAAATAATATGCATAATTATGTATAAACAAGAATGATTGAGAAAAGATTAAAATTATTTTTTCATTATACAAAGTACTTTGTATTTATAAATGCTTCAGTTAATTGTTCCAATTAGAGAAGGTGATCAACATATTCAAAAAATTTTTAGCGGTAATACGAGTTTGGTCATTTGATTTGTGTCTATTACGATTGGGTAAAACTTCATATTTATGAAGGTCTTAATGCGGTTGTTATCACCTGCGCCACCCATACATACCTCAATCACGGTAAGGCACCCTAACCTTAAAACTACGTATTTAATTTTTCCTACCTTTTCCATATAAAGCACTGATATTCACTGAAAACATAAAAAAATAATTAAAAAAACAATTTGTCAAATTGACAAAAAGTAAACAAAGCGAAAGCACATTACTGACTTCAGTAGTCTTGAGCGAAAACCAGAGTTCGCCATTAGAACAGTGGAATGGAATTAAACTTGCGCGCGAAAATTTAAATTTGGAATTATCAAATTTTTGACATAAAAAAAAGAAAATTTTGTAGTAATAAAAAAATCAGACAATAATAATAATTATTATTATATTATAATTTAAATTTTACTATAATTATATACACATTATCTATATTATTAAATAAAAAATTGTTACTTTAATAGTTATATCATTTTTTTATATTTATTAGGATCCGGCGAATTAGAATTTGAAGAATTTTGTACCCTGTCTGCTAGGTTTCTTGTTGAAGAAGATACTGAAGCTATGCAACAGGAATTGAGAGAGGCTTTTCGGTTATATGATAAAGAGGGAAATGGATACATAACAACAGATGTATTTAGAGACATCCTACATGAACTAGATGATAAACTTTCTCCAGAAGAACTTGACCTTATGATTGAAGAAATTGATGCGGATGGCTCTGGCACCCTTGACTTTGATGGTAATTATTATTTGTACCCAACTATTTTGTTTCTATTTTAAAATATAGGCTTTATATTATTGCGAAGTCACAAAATCGCGGCAGCAATTTAATTACATTACATTAGTACGTAAATTATAAACGTAATTTATAGAATGGAAGTTACAAATATCCATTACTATAACGCATTATTATTATTAAAAATTTAGTAGTTTATTAAAACACTCGTTTTGACCCTAAGGTTTATACAAGCGGAGTCTCAAAAATACAATATCTTAAAAAAAAATTAAAAAAAAAACAGAAAAACAATGATTGTAACATTCTAACATCCACAGCAAACATTCAATATTCTTATTTATTATTCTGTAATAATGCGCTCTTTTAATATATTTCCAATTAAATTTACAAAATTTGTTGTTGAGATAATATCTTCTGAAGACATAATCTCAAGCTAAGCAACGATTCTATCCTCTCTACTTTCTATTCTCGGAAAATATAAATCGCAAAGATGGGCACAGGCCGGACAATCTATAAGAATGTGGAATAGCGAATCATAATCCCCATTGTAAAACACGCACGTCTTTTCTTTTTTGGAACAGTGTACCAAATTTCAAGACATAATTCTACAATTATATTTATTAATTAATCTAACTCGAGCCAAAAGTCTTTTACAAGATAAGGAGGATCTACATTTTAAATATGACTGCATGGCTGGCTGGCGCGATAGGCGAGGGTAAATCTAGAGACTACTTAACTCCGAACAGCTTAAATCGTCTTTAGCCCGAAGAAATCGCTGGTATTTCTCCAGAATCAAACCCCCGCAATAACTGACAGAATCCAGGGAGAGCTCCGACCAATAATCGAGAGAATGGACCTCAAAACTCCACCGACAGCCAATCTCGCGCTACTTGTCGCTTTATCAACTTCCTGAGAAAAAGAACATGAAATTAAAAAAATAACGCCCAAATACATTGAAAGAAATTCGGGTGAGCAGCAGTACCAGCAAGTACAACTGCTCTATCAAATCGAAGAACGCTAACAACCCTTTTTTCAATCGGCTGGCATCTCGTTTCGAGAGCTCTGACTACCCGCAGCGGTAGAGCTGATGTTTCTTCCATAGCCTTACCTTGTCAATAAGACAGCTGCTCACCTGTATCGGTAGCGCACCGCTCCCAAAACGGAATCTTAGGCATACTTTGAGTAAAGGAACGCAGCGCTCTCAAAGCTGAGACGTCTGTCCATCCAATTTTTTCAGTGTAGGTATACTATTTCATCTTAGTTTTGTCGGCGTTTACAATTAAGTCATTTTTAATACAATAGGATCGCAAAGCTTCCAACTTTTTACACAATTCAACCAGTGAATCTTAAAGCATCACATAGTCATCAGCATAACCCAAAATGATAATATCCGAGTGATAATCTATGGAGATACCTCTACAACCTTCTTTTCTTAGATAACATTCCAACTCAGAGATAAATAACAAAAAAAGAGGAGGAATAAGTATCTCACCCTGTAGTAGCCCTTGAGTAACTTTAAGGTATTGAATAGTGAATTGTTTTAGAGCTGAGACCAAAACTGTACAATTTTTCTCACAAAAGTGAGTGTGAAACTGATGGAAGGGCTCCCTTAAAGTCGATAAAAATGGCATATACTACTGCATTAGGTTTAGATGAATGAATCTGAATGACTGAAAGTAGAGTGAAAAGATTATGCAAGCAGCTTCTGCCTTTTCAGAAACCTGATTGGGATTCAGGAATTAAATTAAAATCATCCGCCCAAGTAGCACGTAATATTACAGCAATATTACCCAGTAACATTACTGTAATATTACAGTGATATTAAAATGTCCGCCTCATGGTAATATTACCGGATAATGTTATTGTAATATTACACGGTAATATTAAAGCAATATTACTGTAATATTACATTATACCCTAATATTATTTCACGAAAAAAATGTACCCAACCGGGGAATTGAACCCCGAACTCAAGGCACACAAGTCCAGATTTTTACCAACAAGCCACATGAACTTACAATATATTTATGATTGTGATGCTTTATGAGTAACTGAAATAAATCTGTAATATTACTGTAACATTACCGTAATATTACTCGGTAATATCATTATCAAGGGGACATTTTAATATCACTGTAATATTCCAGTATTATTACCGGATAATGTTACTGTAATATTACGTGCTAGTCAGGGCACGACTGCGAGATTCGCCATCCAATTGACCAGGTGAGAAGAAGCCAAAAATAAGAGCGAACTTACCGGTGTTGAACGCAGCAATCCCTTGTGTATCAATGCGTTATTGATAATTATTATGAAGCGTGAGAGGTTGAAACCACCAGTGATACAAAATTGAATTAAAATGAACACAAACAAAAGTATATTTATTATATTCAATAGAAAAGTCTTTTTAACAAAAAGGATATATCGCGATTACAATATATCGTGTACATATAATTTTCTGAACGCGATAAGAGATGTGTCGTAGATCGACGCTCGCATCAGTCTAATTTTGACTATGCGGTTTTGTCGTCAGCTTGACGACAATCGTGCGCGCCACCTAGTTGGTTGCCAGCGTAGATTTAAATATTATAAAAATATATTACATGAAAATACGTAATATTAATGAGGAATGATATCGAAGGGAATCCGATAATAATCTAAGTTAAATTAACGAATATAAAATAATATTTGGATCGTTACAACTTTTTCTTTTTCTTTTTCAAAATAAGACTATAATTTCGTTTCGCTTGTAAAAAATTAGATTTAAATTCAGTCACAAAATTATTTTCTTTAGCCCGTTTTAATGTTGAAAGCACTTTTTGTATCCCTGCATTCCTGATCGAACCATGGTTGCTTATTATTTATTAACCAAAAATGCCTGGCAGGTCGTCTCATGCGGAAAGAGAGGAGTTACAAGACCCGAAAATCGCAAAAGAGAGGTAGCCCATCCGAAGTACACCATACCAAATCTATCACACTAGATCCCTGGGGTTCCACGAAAGTGTATTTTGCCAATAAAATTTAAAGAAACATTAATATTATCTAATAAATTTATCATATCCGCATCGGAAGGAATATAAACCAAACCCAGAACAGAACAATTAAAATTAGACACAATATACCGTATTTTTACAAAAATAAAATTGCTACTCATCGGCAGAAGCTCTGCTTCATATACATCCAAGTTATAGGCTAAAAGAATACCACCCTTGGCTCTGCCAAAATTATTATCCTTGACAGCACAAGAAACAATTGACTTGAATTTGCGGAACACAGCTTCAATTGTGGATTCGTAGACCATGTCTCACTGATACAAATAATGTTTTGATCCCTCAAGATGTCGTAGATATCCACTACATTACTGAAGTTGTGTCAAAAAATCATTTTTGTCTATCAAAAAAATCCTCAAAGACATCCGCGTGTAATTCATGCGGATTCCGTGAGTGAATTTGGGCAGGGAATAAATTTTGAATCTACGAAGATTTTATACTTTATTTTGTTGTCTTTATTTCAAAAGTCCTCATGGAATCCATGACGATTTTGTACTTTAATTGTTTCTTTTGTTTTTTTTAAATTCCCAAGGAATACACGAGGATTTTGTACTCTAATCGGTTCTGATAGATTTTGAGACGCTCTTTCATATGGTGTGAACCAAAAAATCATAATTTGTCAAAAAATTTACTAAAAGTGAAGTTAAAGAAGAGTACTTTTACGAAAAAAACCGATTTTTTGAAAAATTTAAAAAAGGATTAAAAAATCAATTGAAATCGCTTGAATCTCGTTACTTAGCCCCGAGTAATGTTTTTCAAGCAAATGTGTCCGAAATTTCAAATTTTTAAAAATTCGACCGCCATATTGGATTCGCCATTTTGAATTTTTTTAAATCTGACTTCAAAATGAATGTGAAAAATGTAGAAATTTTTACGAGAAACTTTTTGTCTGTACCTTTTTTATGATTTTTTTTGGCGAAGAAAAAATAAACATACCATAGTTATCTTAATTTCACAAATACCATAAATATGAGAATTACAATATAATGTATTACACCGAGTTGTACATAAAAAATTCATACGTATTATTAAAAATATATATTATGTCTTTTCCATCCCTTAGTGGAGAACAATTTTATAATATTTTCTTAAATTGAAGTACGTGAAAAAAAAGTTTTCTGGGTCCGAGGGACTGCGCTCAGTCAACTACTACCATAAGAACTGTAAAATAATGTATTAAAAAGAGTCTTACATAAAAAATGCTTACATATTATTTAAGATGTACGTTATAGCATCAGCTTATCCAATTGGATAACGATTTTGAAAAAATATTTTCTTAAATAAAAGTATATGAAAAAGCAAATTATCTGAGTCCGAGGAACCCATCTCAGCCGAGCAAGGGTTAAGTACCTCAGCCGTTAAAGACAGATATGAACCTCTACAAAATTTACGATCTCACTACTCAATGAAATGAATTTAACTTAAAAAAATTCCAATAACTTTTATCTTCAGTAGTTTCTAAGTCCAAGTTGAACTTAAAAAATAATATTTTCTACTTATGAATTCTATTTTCAAAATTTAAAACAAAAGACTTCTTTATGTGTCAAAGTATGCAATATAAGCTATGTATAATATTTTTTAAAATTAAAGATATTGTAAAATGGCGGCGTCATAGGCGTTTAATGTTAGATTTTTGGTTTTGCGCCGTGCAGCCTACAGGTCTCGAATCTCAACCAAAATCAAAAAATAAAATTTTTATCGTTAAAATACACAAATACGGTATACACGACGAAGAGAAAATTAAAAATTTGTTTTTTGAAAATTTGGGACTATTTTGAAAAAAGAATTAATTATTTTTTATAAACAATCTACAAAAAAATTGTTTAAAAATTGTCTTTAAAAAGCAGCTCGTCATGCAATAGCCAGTAGGTTAAGGAAGATTTCTGGTAAGTTTTATGAAAATTGGGTTAAAATTTGTCTGAGCTGCATTGCACTGCGCGCGAAAAATCACTGCATTTGCTAGCATTTTAAGTATTAAACTTATGTATACTATAGACATTCATACATCTAATTATAGATTAGTAATGTAGCATCATATTCTACAGAGAGGAAACTAATTTTTAAAGAAAAAAAATTATAAAAAAATTTTTTTTACACGAGTTTTCCCCCTTAAGACATCCTACAGAAATCTAATGGCGAGGACATAGAACATTCTTAAAAAGTCTTTAAGACGTTCCAAATACGTCATTTAGTTAAAGTCCAAAAGACGTCCCCAAAAAGACATCCTTACAAATAGCTATATTTTTCAAACGGCTTGCTTGTTTGAAAATCCCCAAGGTCAAGTAGAAGCGATATAACAAAAAAATTTTGTACAATGCAAATTGTATAAACAAATTAATTTTGTAAGTTTTCAATTTTTTCTTAAAAATTGCTATCTCATCTTTCAGAAAGTACAATTAATAGTATTGTTTTAATTAATTAAATGTTAATTAATTGTTTTCTAGAGGTTTGCAATTTTATGGATAAACGTCCTTAAAATCATAACTTAATTTTTTATTGTTTTAGATATACATAAAAACATGTTAAAAGATTTAATTTATTATATTTTGCAACTTTTGAGAAAAAGAAATTATAAAAAACCTTTAAATTATGAGTTTAAAAATTTACGAGACCATTTAATGTTTTTACTCCTTTTTCAGGATAAGACATTCAAAATGAATAAATAAACAATTGGAGTGTACTGTTATTATTCATTCTGTCTCAATCGAAAATTAATTACGATAAGAGTGTGTAAACATTCATATCAAATTTTTTTTGTCAAATCAGATGTTCAAAAGAACAGTATAAATTTTTTAGTTTTCCAGAAACAAATTATTTTCTCAAGCAATATTGTAGCCCAGGCCAATACTTTCTGAATAGCATATAAAAATCTTTGCTAAATTTTGTCTGTCTAAAAATATTTCAGAAAAAAAAACCCGTCTCAACCCGTCAACCGTCTAAGTTCCATACCCATTGGATAATATTTAAATCAAATCTGCTGTGCACAAATGGATGCCATAGAAAAGCGCTACGTATGAATAATTACTTAACATATTTAGTAACACTTAATTAAAATGTAAGCTTACACAAAGCTTATGATAAGGTTACAGAAAGCCGTCCACTGTAGGCTCGCTGTATGTAGGATATTTGTAACTCACATTTAACTTACCTGAAGTTTATTATATAAGTTTAGATATGCTTAATTTTTTCTGTTTGTCTTATCTATAGAAATAAGTCAAAAAATAAATTTCAGTGACAAAAAATTCAAATATAATATGACCTTCAATGCAAGTACCTACCTGCCCACACAGCACCGATAATTCCTCAAAGATTCATTAAATGTTTAAAGGTTAACCTGGGAGCATTGAATCGCCGGGTTCAGAAAAGTCAATTTTCGCGTTAAACATTTGCTCACATGCGGACATTTTAATATTTATTAATATTAATTGCATGTGAGCAAATGTTTAACGCGAAAATTGACTTTTCTGAACCCGGCGATTCAATGATGCCAAGTTAAGGAGGTTCATCCCAAAATCGATTTTCTACAGATTTTTTAAAAATTTTTAAGATGTATTATTGACATTACTTTACATGTGTTGTTCAAATTTTATTGAATTTTACCGTATCATTTTCAAGATAAAAATTGATAAAGTTTGAAGTTTTACATGGGAACAGTGAAAAAACATGAAAAATGACCATGTTTTCATTAATTAAAAAAAACGGTTCTACAGATTTTTTTCAAAAACTAATATGTTTTAAATTATGAGTTTTAACAGTTTTTACAAAAATATGAAATTTTTTTACCGTTTGGTTGTGAAGTAAATGTTAATCAAAGTTAGCAACTTTTGAACTTATCCCATGTAATTAAAAGAAAGAAGAGGAGAAACGGCAAATTAACCTCTAAATTGGCCAGTGGAGCTCAACTTTTATGGACTATAGCTGTCGGTTTTAAACTTACGGAAAACCCCTAATAGAATGAGTACCGCTTGAAGGGATGAACCTCCTTAAGGGGAGGTTCCAATTGCGAAGGCTAAAATGAACACAAACTTTGACAATTTTTGCGGGGAACGGTTATGACTTAGTGATGTAGTTTTTTCTTAAATAAGGTACCTCCTTGAACTTTTAAAACATATATTTCATTTTCAAAAAATTTCAAAATGGCGACCAATATGGCGCACCTAGTAAACAATGTTTTTTTAAATAGGGAAATCGGTGGTCATTCTACAATGCGCAATTTTGAGTCTAAAACAAAAACTTAAAATTTTTTAGAAAGGTGTCATCATAAAGAATAGGTTATACCAATACCCCAGTAGAATTTAGTTACATTTAATTAGACGCAAATCCGATGTTGATTGATCAAATAGTTTAGACGCTACGATGCCCACCAGTTTAAAAAATTCTTGTTTCGAGAAAAACGCGTTTAAAGTTTTGGGAACATTTTGAAGCATTTTTATGTGTAACATTTGTGTACTCTAAAAAATCGATTTAATTTTCCTGAAATTCCTTACTCGGGGGATTTTGGGGTTGCTGATTACGAATGTGATATAAGATTTTCAAAATTCAAAACAGCGGATCCAATATGGCGGATGACTTACCACCTCAGCGGTTCTTAGCTTCGGAACGTCGTGAGTTCACGACGCTATAGAAACGAAAATATTCTTCGGATCAAAAAATCGCTTTACACAAATATTTCACACATATATAGCTTTTAAAAAATGCAAAAAAAATATTTTTTTACTCCCGCAATAGGAACCTCCCCTTAACCTTTAAAAATTAAATGAATCTTCGGGGAATTATTGATGCTGTGTGGGTAATAATAAATTAAAAAAATATTAGTAGTCCTCCGATTTCGTAATAATCTATGTAATTATCTAGCTGTGTAAATACCTTAATGACATTTAATAAATTTCTATTTTTCAGAATTTATGGAAGTTATGACAGGTGGTGATGACTAACTGTTACAGCACAGTAAACTTCATTAAGAATATTATTTATAAGCAAAGAAAATGAAGATTGAAAAATGTAATAGTAATAGTATAATAAGCCAAAAAAATATTGTTATTATTTACTACGACACAGAATTTTAAATAAATATTTTATATTCATGTTAATAATGTAAAATTTTAAAACACCACACTAAAAAACTGTATTTCATTGTATGGATTAATAAATGTTAAAAGAAGTTGTAAAGTATTACTTATAGTCCAATCATTTCTAAGAATTAGAGTAAGGGGAAGTGCGCAACAATGAGAAACCCTCTTTTTAAAGACATAGTACTATACCAATTAAAAATTTTTTCAGCACTTCTTGGCATTAACATAAAGTTTGTATAACAAACCAAATCATTAGAAAGTAATTCTAATAATTAATTGTATAACATTACGCGATAAATCTGATGTAGCATGGAATTTGCTGACTTATCAAAATACTATATACGTCACTATTGTTGTCAGTAAAGTCTGTTCTACGGCTAGTTCCAGAATGGAGCAAAACGTAACGCAGACGCGACGCATCGCAATGTTAAGTGGAGTCCAGAATAGGCACGTTCGACGTGGTCGTGGTGACGTCACAAAGTAACTGCTACCAACCGTTAAAATTATGCGTGAAATATGTAATGACACTGAAATGCCAAAAATAAATATTTTAGTTTAATTAATTAGTTAATGAAGGACAAATTTTTTTAATAAAGAATTTCACTGGTCGTCAGTGAAATGTAATTATTTAATAATTAACTGCAATAGTGCATTGAATTTTTAATGTAATTTAATTTTATCTAGTGAAAAATAAGCCCAAGTAGAAATATCCGTAGCTCGCCGTAATTAAACACCGGCATGGTACTGATCCAATACTGGCTGTCGGTATTGACTTTCAGTACTGGCAGTGTACTGACTAATACACCGAATCAGTACTATGTCGGATGTAAAAAAATATTAAAACCAGTACTGGCAGTACACTGTCATTCACACCGAATCAGTACTATGTCGGTGATAAAAAACATTAAATGAAAAAGTCTTTAAATTATTCCAATAGGTAGAAAACGATGATTTTTTATTTAAAAAAATGTATATTAATTTCTTTCGAATACTTTCCCTCAAAATTTTGGATGTAATTGTAATGTATTATTATATACCTATATAAAATATATTTATGTTTTTTTAGTTATTTTAGTACTCATTGAAATATGTGCATTAAGTTATTTATCATGCATACAATAACAATAAGTTGAGAATTTTTTTCTAATAGTTTTAAAAATAAAGCAAATGTAATTTTTTCACTGTAATTTTTAAATATTATTAATAATTAAATATTAAATTTAAAAAATTTTTCACCATTCATATTTTACAGTCGTCTTTTATTAACTTATTTTTAATTATGTAATTCATCAATCATTTTTGTCTGTTTTAATATTATTTACGGTAAAAATAATTTATTAAAAATATTTAACTGAAATTGATATCCAGTTTTATTTCATTAAATCTTTGTAAAAATTGAAAAAATTTTGTGAGTTTAAAAAATTTAAGAATAAATTCATTTTATTTTCGTGATCAATAGATAATACAAACTTTGAAATCAAAACTTTTGTATTAGGTGAACTACTTCAAGTCAGCACTTCAAGCCAGCGCGGCTGTGCGGTATGCGTATCTGACTTGCGTTCTAAGGGTTTAGGGTTCGATCCCCCATGCGTGCGAGATTTTTCGTTCTTAGTTTTAAGTGTTATAAGTACAATATTTGTTCATGTGTAATATCAATTATTAAATAATTATTAAATTAAGTATAAGTGCAAAGTAAAAAAAATTAAATATTATGAATTTAAAAAAATAAAAAAATTTACAACACAAATTATTTTTTGTAAAATAATTTATTAAAAATAAAATAATTTAATTAATATAAATGATAATTATTATTTTAATTATTTATTGTTAATAATATTTTATATATTCTAAATAACATTAACTATTATTGGCTTCACATTACCTGTTCGTGGTAAAAATGGGAGTAATAAGCTAATAAGGATGAAATTTGCATTGGAAAGCGTGTTTTAGCATTTTGTAAAAAAGTGAGATTTTAAGTCCGGATGAGTACTTTGCCAGTATTATGCCAGTATTATTCTAGTACTACGTTAGTACTGGTGAGCGGGACAAAATCAGTACTGGACAGCGTTACCAGCCAGGGTTGGTCCACTACTGGCCCAGTACGGCAGTCAGTACTATTATACTGACTAGCAGTGTTGGGTCAGTACTATGCCAGTGGCACATTTCTACTTGGGAGGTTATATGCCCTGTAAAAAAGTTGGATAGCGAGAATCGGGAAAACGTATTGAAGCTCGGCATGTTGAATCCGTTATTTGAATTTTAAGATATTGGAGTGTTAGGTCGAATCCGTTGTTTGTAGTTAGTCCAATACGTTCGATTGAAAATAGCCTTAAAACGAATCAAAAAAAGGTTTTAATTGGGATAAAAGTGACCTTTTATTAATAAAAAGGTAAAATAAATTGTGGAGAGACCAGAATTAAGAGAAAAATGGAACTTTCAATTAAAAATAATAGAATTAGGTTATTTAGTAAATGTGTTACCATTGAAGAGAGCTATTCGTCAGGTAAGTATGCTACTCTTTTTACCGACAATGGATACAAGTTATTGAATTTAAATTTCTATTGTCGGTATAGAACTGAATAGAATAATTACTCTTTTTTATAAACTAATTAATAGCAGTTAATGTAAATAGTGATTAATAAAGAGACAAAACAAGAAAATTAATTAATAATAATAAGTTCAATAATAAATGAAAGGAAATGAGAATAAATAAACTAAATCCTCATTTTAAAGATAAGACAAAATTATTTATTCACGAATATTAATTGATTAATAATAAAAATAACCACAACTTTTTTACAATGCCCATGTATATGTTAAATAAATAAATATATTAAAAAAAGTATAGGGGAGGATGGGGTAAGGATAGTTAGGTAAGACATTTTTGGATCAAGCAGCTAAAATTCAACAGGCATCGGAAAAAGAATAGTATCGTTCGAAAGCCTGTTTATTTAGCTACAATTTTGTAATACATTATTTTGCTGTGGATTGCAATGCCTTTGAGATATTAGCAACAAATTAAAAAAAAAATTTAATTTAAATTTTATCAAAATTATTTTTACGAAAAATAATCAAAAAAAGACATTAAATTTTGGGTTTTGTTAATTTCATTGGATAAAAGCACCTCAAAACACTTCAAAGCACTACCAAAAAAATTTTTTGGACTTAAATAAATATTTAAAACAGTTAATATCTGAAACAGTGTTTTAAACAGAACTGACAAATTTTAGAAAAAACAGGATTTTCACAAATAAACACGTAGCTTCCACAAATGATATCGCATCAAGATCAAATTTTTCTTTACGTCTTTTGGTGTTAAAACAAGTATATATGAAGAATAGTGCTCTTTTTGAAGAAGCCGTATAGGCAATAGAACCACTAACTATCCTTGCCCCATCCTCCTCTAAGGCCTTAAATTAATTTTCTTTTTATACCTTTTATTAACTAAAAACTAAATCAGTTGTAATAATTTTTTACTTTCCAAATTGGAATTAACAAAGTATCATAGGTTTGCAGGGATAAGTGTACCACTAATTTCAAAAAGCGTATATGCGCTAAAAATTCAAGGAAATTTAATCGTTAATTTAATGAAATTTCACTAATTAACCTTTATGTACGCAAATTAAAATGACTAGTATATTTACCGCTTTTGAAATTTTAAAGAGTAGGATAATAAAATTGGTGTTGAAGCTGAGGAAAAAGAAGCAGAAGTGGAAAGCATGAAGCAGTTGGTGTAGAATTATTACATCGCCCGACAAAATTCAACTTTTTTTTCACACATGAAAAAATCAATGATTTTCAGAAACTAGGACCAAAAACAGATACCCGTGTCTGGCCGTTTTGCTAGATCAGGTCATTTTTTGCTTTTAGGGGTAAAAACAACCCTTAAATGAAAGGTGATAGGAAATCTTGTACAAATTAATAATTTTTTATGAAACCTGGTATCTCGGGGTTTTCCGGGTCGCTGATTACGAATCTGATGTCAGATTTTCAAAATTCAAAATGGCGGATCCAATATGGCGGTCGAAATTTATAAAAATTCACCAATTCATTTGAAAGTTGTTACTTAGGGGTTTTTGGGGTCGCTGATTACGAATATGATGTCAGATTTTCAAAATTCAAAATGGCGGATTCAATATGGCGGTCGAAATTTATAAAAGTTCATCGAATTTACTTGAAACTTGTTACTTTAAGGTTTTTGGGTTCGCTGATAACGAATATGATATCATATTTTGCAAATTTAAAATGGCGGATCCAATATCGCGGTCGAAATTTATAAATATTAATTATTTTTTATAAAACTTCGTATCTAGGGGCTTTTGGGGTCGCTGAGTACGAATCTGAAGTCAGATTTTTAAAATTCAAAATAGATCAGTTGCATAGTTACGGAAAATAGTACATAAAACAAATGACAATTGTAGAATGTTTTACTTTGCAAAGCAGTTTTAAACAATCACTTCACATCTTTAAATTCATCTTACTTGAGCTTATTACTGTTATCTAATAAAAATATTCTTACTTACTACAAAGCCTGTTTTGTCATTAAAAAAGTGTCGAATATACAAAAAACACATATGTGGAAATTTTTATTTTTTATATATTGTTTTCTAATCTTCCACATTATTAGATCTATTTTAAATTTTAAAAATCTGACTTCAGATTCGTACTCAGCGACCCCATAAACCACTAGATACCAAGTTTTATAAAAAATAATTAATATTTCTAAATTTCGACCGCCATATTGGACCGGCCATTTTGAATTTTCAAAATCTGACATCATATTCGTTATCAGCGACCCCAAAAACCTAAAAGTAACAAGTTTCAAGTAAATTCGATGAACTTTTATAAATTTCGACCGCCATATTGAATCCGCCATTTTGAATTTTGAAAATCTGACATCATATTCGTAATCAGCGACCCCAAAAACCTTAAAGTAACAAGTTTCAAGTAAATTCGATGAACTTTTATAAATTTCGACCGCCATATTGGATCCGCCATTTTGAATTTTGAAAATCTGACATCAGACTCGTAATCAGCGACCCGGAAAACCCCGAGATACCAGGTTTCATAAAAAATTATTAATTTGTACAAGATTTCCTA